CGAGCTGATCATGACTAGGAGCTAAATTAACTCACCTGGTTGAGAGTTCAGTCCGATTCCAGAGGGAGAGGAGGAATCCAGTGGGATATTGTCCACCACTTGCAGCCATAACCACTTCAGAGCTCAGGTGATGAGGACCTGGCGTCAGCCAACGGCGAGGAGGCAACAGTGTCTATGAGGGATTATCCAGAGGCGAAGTAAAATCCAAATCAGGTTGACAGACCAGGCTATCAGAGAGCTGAAAAGGTACCGAAGGAAAATCCAAGCCGAGCTCAGTAACAAAGTTTAGGTTCGGTAACCAGCAGAATCCAGGAAGTCAGTCCAAAAACAAAAGTTACAGAGCAGACAGGGAAAAAGCAAAAAAACAAATATACAGAGGCAGAAAACAGGTCAGAATCAGAGTCTCAAACAGCTTGAATAATCCGACACTGATGACAGGCAGGCAAACAACTTAAATAGTTGCGGGAACCAGGTGAAACCAATTGCTGTTACTCTTTTGGCGGGCCAAAATGTGCCCTCTTAAATTAATTTCATTTTATTTATTCAACCTCTGGCATGGGAACTGCTCTGGAGCTTGTCTTTCTTAGACGGAGCCACCTGTGGAGCTGATTGACAGTTGCCTTTTGTCTCTATGCTTCTTTTTCTATGTCTGCTTCTGTCTCCTTGAACCCCAGTCAGCCTCAGCAGATGGCCGCTCACACTGAGCCTGGTTCTGCTGGAGGTTAGGGGTAGGGCCATGATCTGATTTGTTGGTTAAGTCGGTTAGTTCGGCTGCTAGAACAAAAGAGAGGTGAATGTTGGCTTTTTATATTTGAAAATATGCATGAAAAATAGAAAACATAAAGGTTCAGAAGAGTTTGCAGGATGTGGGCTTGGGGAAGACAGTAGATCACCCTGTGTGAGTGGTTCTGTTTGGTGGAGTGATGTCTGGTCAAAGGAGGAGTCCTGACAACCATGCAAAGAAAGGTGGAACAAGGTTTGCCAATTCCTCATTCTGCATAAAAGTCTGACTCTGGGGCATCTATGCCATCTACACAGCAGGTGCGTGGGTTTACCTGCTGTCAGCTGTTTGGCCAAACTAACCTGTCGGTCTATTCTGCCCCGGTAACTGAATTTCACTCAAGTTGCATTTTTTTAAGAATGAAATCACTCATACAGATTTTTATAGGGTTTTCCTGTTTTGTCTTTTACCTATATCATTTCATCTGTATTACAGACAGCATTACTAGAACCCACAGCCATTTGAAAGGTATAGGTTTTTCTCAATTTACATGCTTTACATAGTTGGAAATGTAGTTTATTCTCAGTAAACAGGCCATAAAAAGTGTAGTGCAATGGCAATCTTTTTTCAGTTGAATTAAAATAGTTTCTCATTTAGATAAACATTCCTTTATTCCATCTTAATAAATATTTTACACATTATTTGTCATTAGCCATAAGGATGATAAAACAATGACAAAAACGTTTTAGAGTTGGATTTGTCAGGATTTGGTGTTGGATTGAGGACCCAAAAGCAGAGGCCAGTAGGCAGAGGTGAATTTAGGTGGGTTTAATGAGGTTCAAAGGAACTGAGGCAGGAATCAAAAAATCCAACAAAATAACAAACAAACCAGAACCAAGGAGACATCAGGGGAAACCAAACTCTAGGAGCCAGGGAGAGACGAGGTAAGCAGACAGACGTTAGACGAGGATCCAGCAAACAGGAACTGAAGAGGGAGGGCTTTTAAAGGGGACAGAGACAAAGAGAGGGCTAACGAGGGAATTGGAAACAGGTGAGGGCAGAACAGAAAACAGAGCAAGGGAAAGAGGACACAAGGGGGTCCTGCTTTTGGGTCCTCAATCCAGCACCAAATCCTGACAGTTAAGTCTACCAGTCCGCTGTGTTTTGCTAACAGGCTTGCTATTGCTGGCTGAAAATTTACGGTCCAAAGACAGTGTAAAAGCTGCCTACCTCAGCAACAACCAGCCTGAATCCCACCCTCTCTTAAAACGATGTAAACACCTGGACACAATTGTTGGTACCTCTCATTTAATGAAAGCAAAACCCACAATGGTCACAAAAACAACCTGAATCTGACAAAAGTTATAATAAATACAAATTCTATTAAAAGGAACAAAAGAAAGCCCGGCATTTCTTTTCAAACATGCTGAACAGATTGATTGAAAAAAAATAAAAAATACTAAACAGGCCTGGAAAAAAAAAAAAACATGTTATCCATAACTTTATATTTTGTTGCACAACCTTTTGAGGTAGTAATAGAAAATAAATGATTCCTGTAACTTTCTGAGATTGTGGAGAATCTTCCTTGATAGTCTTGAGATTTAACTGTACCCTTTAGAGATTCAAGGCACCCTGTTCCAGAGGAAGTAAACATAACAGAGACTCCTCGTGTCTGTCTGAGAACATAGAGTTAATGTGCTGTGACATAAAACATCCTTTCCATCTCATCTGTCCATGCAATTCTCCACATGTAGTTTAGTGAATTCCAGTCTGGCTTTTTCATGGTGTCATCTCACACCCATGTTCACTGTGCTTGATGTTAAACATCTTTAATCTAATAGAAGTTTTTTTTTTGTGCTGTTTTGTTAGCATCTATATTTCATTTGTCACCAGATTTCCTCCTGTGGCCACCAGTGTTAATTTTGACAGCAAATTCTGATTTAGTCTTAGTCTTTTGAAAAACACACATTTAGTTTTAGTCATATTTTAGTAATCTGAAATCTTTTAGTCTTAGTCTAGTCTTTGTCAACTAAATGTCAAGAGTTTTAGTCTTAGTCTTTTGAATAACACACCAATTAGTTTTAGTCATATTTTAGTCATCTGAAATCTTTTAGTCTTAGTGTAGTTTTTGTCGACTAAATGTCAAAAGAGGTTTAGTCTTAGTCTAGTCTTAAGTCTTTTAGTCTTAGTTTAGTCTCAGTCTGGATCAATAAAGTATCTATCTAGATTTAGACACAGATTGAATAGTTACAGATACAAAACATGTATTTTATTTTGAAATTCAAAAAGATTAACTGTGGCTTTGCTCCCTGAAAGTTTAGCGCAAACACGGCGGTTAATCGAATAAAAAATAACCTTGTATGCTTAGCGTGTATGCTTACCTTCGCATGTATCTCTGGATGAGTCGTCTGCAAATGCCGTTTCAAGTTAGTGGTGTTTTTTCCAGATATTTTGGCTCCCTACACGGTTTGCAGGCTGTCTTGTTGTCCTTGGTGTCGTATGTGAAGAGTGCCCAGATATCAACTCTTCTTTTTCGCCCTAGCTGTTGTAAAATGTCTATTATTCATTTGATTTTTGAAAGGCTACTACTGCTACGAAAATGCTGCTTCTATGCTTCAACCATACGCGCTCTCTTTTTCTTCTCCTTCTTTGCACAGCTTTATGGCGCATTACCGCCACATGGATTTCTTTCTATGGCGGTTGGCAACTAACTTTTGATTGGATTTCTTCCCAACTTGTCCCACAAAAAAAGTAATTCTGATAGGATCACCGTTCGTCCCTCCCTAATAGTTTAGTCTAGTTTTTATTAGTTGATTAAAGTGTCAGTTATTTTCATAATAGTCTTAGTCATCATATCTCACTTTTTGTTTAGTTTTTATTTAGTTTAAGTCCTGTGAAAAAGGTTCGTTGACAAGTATTTTTCGTCATAGTCTTCGTCAACAAAATTAACACTGGTGGCCACGTGCCAAGAGTTTGGCTACAGTCCCATGGATTTTAAATTTCTGAATATGTGCAACGATAGTCGTGTGAACATCTGCATCTTGGGGATGGTCTTATAGCAGCGGTGGTTCCAGGACTAGAATCTATACCGTGAGCAGAAGGAGAGACTAAAGCTCAGCTCTCCTTGTAAAGGTCACCTATTTCATTCAGAAATAGAAAGAAAATATGCATTAAAGTTAGAGGAGCTAGATAAGTGGATTTGCCCTCTCCCCATTCTACACTGTAGATTTCTCTAATTTCGCAAATCGCCAGGTTTCCATCTTCAGAAGTTCTTAGATGAATCTCAGATTCGGCTTCTGAGGATGAGTCAGAATGCAGACAGCTGATGCTTGTGAACTGGTAGAAACATGTCCTGATCAGCACAGAGAAAAACAAGAAGATGATAACCGATTTAAATTGCCTCCTATAATTACATTAATGTTGGTCTAAAAATAACCCAGACTGGGACTTGGGTTTGATGAATAAATTTTTTAGCATTCCTATAGAAGCACATTTTAAGGCCAGACATTAAGGCCTAATGAGTCTGTCTGTAGGTAATCTGGCCTAAAGTCAGGATTTTGCTTTTCCGCATGCCAAGAGGTTCTTGGTTTTATACATCTGCAAATACAAAAAATTATTTGAAAACCTGTATTTAATGCCAGAACTGTTTCAAACAGAACTTTAGCACTGTTGTATATTCTCAAAACAGTATGCCACTCTGTTGTTGCTACAGGGTTTATTAGTCTGATGTTTGATCTATTTAGCATTAATGCTAAAAAAATTATTGTCTTAAGCATTTCTTTGTATTATTATCATAATTATTATTATTTCTTAGTCGGCCAGGCATATTTCAATAACAGATCAAAACAGGGACCTAAAGCAAAGTATATCCTAAAATGTAGAAAGATCCAGATATTACTGGACTCGACAAAAATCAGATCAATATAGATATTGATATTAGAGACTTTTAGCATCTTTTCTCAGAGGTTTCATGTTTCTTTTATAAAAAAAGACAAGCAATAGATCGGTTCTTCACCGGCGCGCCTGCGGTCCAGGTCTGCCCCCTGTTGAGCATTTGAGGTAGAGAATCTTATTCATCAGGCTGGCAGCAGATTTTTCAATGCAACATAAACTAGCATCTCCCAACAGTCTGAGAGCTTTTAACTTCTAGATTTGCCTAAACTTTGTCTGATAAATAGATATTTGATAATTCATTAAATTCTTCAGCTACTGTTGTGTTTAATTGATTGTGTTCAGGTCTGTCTCTCATCTGAAAAACCTTTTGATCACAGAAAGACTGTAGAATAAAGTGCTCTATATTTCAATCATACACATTTTGCAAGTACAATCATTGTGCGCCATGCAGCTGCAAGATGACCAGTTTTCGGGGCGGGGGTGGGGGGGGCACCTAGTGGTAGAAGCAACATGATCAGAGGAGACGTTTGTTGGAATAAAAAAGCCTGGGATAAAGTATTTCTTTTAAACCACTGATGGATGTTCTTTCCCTTTTTTTCTTCATTCAGAGATATATACTTTTAAAATTATTGCAGTTTTTAAAGAACCTGCCTGTTGCTACATAATCCTCAGATACATAAATAATAAATAATTATTTCATTGTAAAGAAGAAACTTAGAATATGTAGTAATAAAGGCAGAATTTTCAGTGTTCAAATTCAATTCAGTTGAAAAAAAACAAAACAAAAACAACAAAAAAAAGTAGGTCCCAAAGAATGCATTTCCTTGCTTATTCGTACACTTTGTTTTAAAAAACGTTCGGAAGTTCCTTAATAGCATCTTCTTCCATCTTCTCTGGTTTCTCAAAGAATCCTTGTCAGTCTTAGAAAAGCTTTGGTCTCTAATGCAGTTAGAAACCTGAAGTTATACATGGACGGATGAAACACTCTTGTTTAGGACTTGTGCTCTCATTAGTTGGACACTGGTCATGATCTTCTTCTGATGACCCATCAGTGTCACGCCGAGCCTCTGGATGTCCCTGGGTGACAGAAAAACAAGTCATTTTAAGGTTCTAGAAGGTAAACGACTACTCTTTTCAGTTCCTGCTTTATTGTTTGATATTTATTTCTGTGTCTCTGTTGCATTTGGTAAAGTCTGTCCCAGAGCAGGGTGACAAAAGCAAGGCTGATGATGATGATGGTGCCTGAACTGGCAACCCACTCCCCGTGTTGGTTCACCTTTCCTCACTACAGCTTTTCTTTCCACTCATGTTTCTAGAATTATCTTTAGCAACGACTTTTTTTATTGTCAGAATTCAGACAGAATTCTGAGAAAAAAAGGGAATTCTCAGAAAAAAGTCAGAATTCTGACTTTAATCTCAGAATTCTGAGAAAAAAGTCAGAATTCTGAGATTAAAGTCAGAATTCTTCTCATGTTAAACTGAAATAAAATTTAAAAATCAGTTAACTTTTTTTTTTTTTCAGTGGCCCTAATCCTCTTCCGTAGTTTAATATGTGTCAAATATAGTCACAAAAACTGCCCACAATCAATTTCGGGTTTGGTAAATCAGCCCTTATTTATTAGTAATGTGCACTAGTTTCAAATCTACGATTACTTGAGTAAAATTTCCTTTTCATTAAAATATTTTCTCAGCCTAAAATCTTTTCCATTTGCTTTTAGAAGCTTCCAGTCAAATTAAGTCAGAGGCTCATCATCACCTTCAAGTTGTTAACCCCCAAATACACTGATTACTCACCCTTGCTTCATGCTTATGACGTGTCCCAAAGTGTGATAGCCTCCCTCTGCAAAGCGTTCCTTGTAGCGGCCCATTTTTATCATTTCCAGCCACTCGTCCACTGAGTTACAGCTGTTGAAATCAGGGATAGCTCTGTCCATCAACGGAGGACTGCTTAAACTGCAGCAAAAAGAAGAGATAATGATTTCATTTTCCACACCAACATGATCGAGAGACAGATGAAATGAAATATATTGTCGCCCCAAATGAATTGGGGCGACAGTGGCGTTGGATGTTGGAGTTTCCCCTGAAATCGAAGGATTGACAGTTCAAGCCCCGGGTCTGACTTTCAGTGTCCTTGTGTCCTTGGGCAAGACAGTTCACCTGCATTGTCTACTGATGGTGGTCAGAGGGCCCGGTTGCACCAGTGTACGGCAGCCCCGCTTCTGTCAGTGAACCCCAGGGCAGCTGTGGCTACAATGTAGCTTGCCACCATCAGTGTGTGAGTGAATGGATGAATGAATGAATGTAGTGTAAAGCGCTTTGGTCAAGTCTCCTGATTTGAATAAAGGCGCTATATAAGTACAGGACATTTACCATTTGTGTTCTTGACTAGTTTCTGCCTTTGTAACTCTAAGCCTGCCTGCCCCAGTTCTGGACTGTTTGCCTGACCTGGCTTCGGACTCCTGCAGGATTCTGCCTGATTACGACCCTGGATCCTGATCCCGACTTGGGTTTCTCTTTGATACCTCTTCGGATCTCTGATCTTCTACTCTGGACTAGAAAACTCATGCTTTCCCTCATCTGCTCGCTTCTGCTCATTAGACAGTTCAGCAGCCTTCTTGGCTTTGGCTCCTTGAACTCTCTGGGTGACGCATTCTGTGGGAAATCATCTGGCTGGATTCCACTCTGGGCTCAGACTAAAGTTTAAAATCTATCTTCCTTTGTCAGATTTACGTGGTCACTAACCTGAGTTTTCCCCTCAACAGAGATTCCAGCCCTTTTGTGTCTTAGCCGCTGAGCCGTAGATTAAATGTGTTCTTAAATAAACGGTATTGTAAATCACATCAGTCCATCTGTCTGAAAGTCTGGGTCCAAAGTTTAGAGCCTTGACAGCAACATCTTGTCCCTGCGAATTTCACCAAGCGAATGTAAGCAAAAGTTCATATTTTTAACTTTATTAGGAGGCGAGGCTGCGATCAAACGCTGCTAACTTCGCCAAAATCGTGCTGTTAGCCTCCCTGAATGTGCTGCCTTTCACAGCCTTGCTCTGCTTTGCTTTGATCTAGACCAGCGCTCTACATAAAGGTCACATGGGAATTCTTGGCTTTAGCTGTGAAATTCAGGTTCGTTATAAGCATACCTTTCTGCAGCTGACCATATTGAATAGAATCCATATACCTGCAGAGTGTATCAATGGACTTCAGGTTTTCCGGGTTGCGGATCAGCTTGTCGAGGATAGTAACTATCTGGCAAAAGCGTGGTCTCTCATTGCGATCCTTCTGCCAGCAATCCAGCATAAGTGTGTGTAGAGCACCCGGGCAGCCCATAGGGGCAGGCAGCCTGTAGCCCTCTTCCACAGATTTAATAACCTGCAATTTTTAAGCAAAACACTGCAGGAGTTTGTAATGGCAGTAATAGAGGGTGGAGGTTTTATTGTATTGTATTCATGCTTTTTGATTTAGCAAAAACCACTTACATCTCTGTTGGTGAGATTCCAGTATGGCCGCTCTCCATAGGACATTACTTCCCACATAACCACACCATAGCTCCACACATCACTGGAGGAGGAAAACGTTCTGTATGCAATTGCCTCGGGAGCCGTCCATCGAATTGGGATTTTTCCACCCTGTTGGTAATCAGTTAAAACAGAATGTAACAGCATTACAATCATGGTAGACAACATTAGATTACCTAATGAATACAATGAACCTGAAACAATAGCAACATTTAGAAATAATTGGTGAAGGGGTTTAAGTGCCCAAATGGTCTTAGGGACTATGTTTTTGGGCGCTATAATTGGTATCCCAAAGCAAACAGGCTCTGGGTGGTGGTCAGACAAAATGCAGTTCAAAAAGCCCATATGATGGCAAACAAATGGAGGCATGTGACATTTCCTGCTACCTTGCAGGAGGGAGATCATCATGGAGACAAGACTGGGGTTGGTTTTTCCTCAGTAATCGCCTGGCGGTCTCTGGCGGAGACTGGGGATAGGAGAGGGGGGAGCTGTCTACCAATCACTACCTGGTAGTGAGCTGAATGAGGAGTAGTCTGGACAAACCTGGCAGCCCCAAGTGAGTAGAGAGATCTAATTTGAATGTCTGGAGGAGGCCTGGGTCATCTGGGAGATGCTCTCCCAGATCCCAGTGGAGGCTGGGGACAGGGAGTCTAAATGACCATGTTTTCTGCCTCCATTGTTGATGCAGTCACCTGCAGCTTTCTGTAAGGTCTGTTGTGGCAGCAATCCCCAAACCTGTGGATGGCAGTAAGGGATGGTATCAAGCTGAAGAATAAGTCATACCGACCTTAGCTGGTTTGTAGGACTCTTAAGATAGCAAGCAAGTATCTTTAGGCCAAGTGTGCCCCCGCCCGTAGCAGTCGCAGAGACAAATCTTAGGGCAGAGAAAGTGATTCAAAGAGATTCTGGCAAACCGTCCAGCATCTCTGGAGGGGAAGGCAGTCCTATAAATAATAGTGTTGTTTATTTGGGGTGGGGCGCTGCTGACCTTGAAAGAGGATATTGTTGGAGGGTTGAAGGAATATGTTAGGGTTAGGTCCCTCATAGTGGAATAAGGACAGGGTGCAGGGGCTGGATTCATTCATCATCCAGGCTGAAGTCACAGAGGTGAGCAAACAACTCCACGGTGGCAAGGCTTTGGGGGGATGAAGGCGTTAATTAGCTTAGATCTTTGTAAGTTGTCAGGATGTCAAAGCAACACCTCTTTAACATGTCATTGAGTTTGAGGACAGACTGGAGTGGTCTGCCTGCATAGTTCCAACTATAGGGGGATCATACTTTTCAGGCATCTCCAGAAGTTCTGTGCCAGGGTGATATAGAGGAGAGTCTAGCTGATTGTTGAACCACAGTTTCAGGAAGGGCAATGTGGTTTTTCTTCCTGGCCATGGAACAACTGACTAAATCTTCTCCCTTTGCAGTGTGCTATGTCCAAAGTTAGGGCCCTAGTCGTTAGGGCATAAAGCTTCGAGTCTTTAAGGTTCTAACACCCCACCCCATACCCACAGACTGCCACTCTGAGTCTCTGAGCAAGATCCTTAACCCCACACTGCTCCCCAGGGTGATAACCCATTACTCCCTAAGGGGATGGGTTAAGTACTGAGGTACATTTCTCCATTTTCGGGGCGACAGTAGCGTTAGATGTAGGAGTTTGCCCTGAAATCGAAGGGTTGACGGTTAAAGCCCCGACTCCGACTTTCAGTGTCTTTGTGTCCTTGGGCAAGACACTTCACCTGTATTGTCTACTGATGGTGGTCAAAGGGCCCGGTGGCACCAGTGTACCGCTTCTGTCAGTGAACCCCAGGGCTGCTGTGGCTACAATGTAGCTTGCCACCATCAGTGAATGGGTGAATGAATGAATGAATGTAGTGTAAAGCGCTTTGGTCAAGTCTCCTGACTTGAATAAAGGCGCTACATAAGTACAGGCCATTTACCATTTTGAGAGCATCCATCCATTCATCCAAACAACCATTCACGCACACACTCACACCGAAGGAGAATTTAGAGAAGCCAATTAACCTAACAATCATATTTTTGTACTTTGGGAGTCATTTTGAGATCAGTTAAGAAAAATTATTATTATTATTATTATTATTATTATTAAAGGATACTTGGGAGTTTGTCCAACTCTGTGGTCTGTGGACCTGGAGAAGGCATATACCACCATTTCCCTGATGGTGCCCTGTTTGGGGAACACTATGGAGCTTAAGGCTCTTTAAAAGGGGCCATCCAGTCTGTACAAGAACTGCTGGAACTAGGTCACACCTGTTGCTGATGCATGTTAGACTCTGACAGGGCTGCCCTGTTCACAATTTTTATGGACAGGATTTTCAGGAACAGCCATGGGCCAGCGTGGCTCTGGTTTGGGAATTCTGAGGCCATAATTCTTGAATGAGAAAAAAGGTGGCTTGTGCCTTAGGGACCTGGAACATGATTTAAAAAAAAAAATCAAGGTCCCAGATACAAGCCACTGAAATTTGCTTTTTCCACAGGGCGGCTGGACACTCCAGGAGAGATTAGAGCTTCTTCTCCTCATTGAGAGGAGCCAGATTAGGTGGTTTGGACATCTTTGTCCAGGATACAGTAGAAGATAACAAGTTGTGTACAATGAAAGGACTCATATAGAGAGCCTTGTAAAATCATTTGTGTCCTTTGAATTTGTTAATATCTTATCAATAAGATTAATTGATCTTCCATCAGTTCTGCGGAGCTTCCTTGTCCTAACCAAAGAAAAGCATGAAAGCATGCACAAAACATAATACCAGTAACATGTTTCACTGTGGATATGGTGATGCGCACTTTACAAAAATATTTATGTAATTTAAATCCAATCTCCTGTCCATGGGTGATGCTGAGAAACTAGTCCATGCATTTGTTACTTCAAGGCTGGACTATTGTAATTCTTTACTATCAGGAAGTAAAGATAAACAAGCTTCTGGTTCTCTTAAAGGGAACCAGCTGATTTAGGATTATTTCATTTCCACAAGAGCTGATTGTTATGAAATATTAGCTGTTTTATTGTTGCACTTTACATTTTTAATCACAGCCATTTTTTGAGGTTTTTTATGTGTTTACTCATGTGTTTGTGTGTGTATTGTTGCATTAGTGCTTGCCTCAATGTGAAAACTCACACTGGTGGTGTATGCAGCTTCTGGGTCATCCTCCAGAACCCTGGACAGGCCAAAGTCTGATACCTTACACACCAGGTTGCTGTTGACCAGTATGTTGCGGGCGGCTAGGTCCCGATGGATGTATCCTAGGTCAGACAGGTAGCTCATACCTGCCGCAATGCCGCGCAGCAAGCCAACCAGCTGGATGATGGTGAACTGGCCATCATGCCTCTACAAAAATGAAGACAAGAGAAAGATATGTTTAGAAAAAGCTCTTGTCCCATTACAGTTAAATAGGCTTTTGCTTTCTAAAAGTTTCAGATGATTCACATAATCAAGCAAAATTTTGTATAGCGAAATGAGGATAAGCCACAGCTATACTCTGTTATTAGGCTTTTTTTTACATGCCATATTAACTAAATTCACCTCAAAAACATTTTTAACAGTCATATGGGTCCTGAAACCTTTATGAAAAAACCCTTTCACTTCTACCACTGCAAGCATCTCCTTTGTGGGCATAGGACTTTGAATCCTGAGGTTGTGAGTTCGATCCCCCACTCCCACAGACTGCCACTCTGGGTCCCTGAGCAAGACCCCTTAACCCCACACTGCTCCCCGGGTGCCGCACAATGGCTGCCCACTGCTCCCCAAGGGGAGGGGTTTAATGCAGAGATTTAATTTCGTTGTTCTGTACTTGTGACAATGGAATGACAATAAAGTTGCATTGTATTCTTACAGTGCTAGGACAGATTCTCTTTACTATATATGGTATATATACTATCTTAGACACTATTGGCTTTGTTCAAAATGTGAATAGTCCCACACATTCTTATCTTCATACTTTGGATCTTGTGCTGACATACGGCATAGAATGTGAAGAAATAACAGTATTTCCTCACAACCCTGTCCTCTCTGACCACTTTTTTAATAACCTTCAGGATTATTTTAACAGAGTTTTCCTCCCCCAAAAGAAGGTTCAAACTCACCCAGGGCCATAGCTCTGTTGAACCGTCCATTCCACCTGCTCTTAGCAGCAATGATTTTATGGGATTCTTTATAAATAAGATTGATCTTATTAAAAATAAGATCATAAGCACTCCTCTATCCGCGATTGGTTTGTCTCTGGAGGGAGGGGGGGGCAGCATCTGAGGTAGTCATGGAATCTGAACCGGGTTTAGACTGCTTTGATCCAATTGAACTTTCAGAGTTAGCAAAACTATCGTCTTCATCTAAGCCTTCAACTTGGATGTTAGATCCAGTTCCAACCAGGTTATTTAAGGAGGTATTCCCTTTGATCTCCTCCTCCATTTTAGATGTGATTAATCTATCTCTGTTACAGGGATATGTACCAAAGGCTTTTAAGGTTGCTGGAATTAAACCTTTGCTTAAGAAACCGTCTCTTGACCCAGATGACTTGGTCAATTATAGACCTATATCCAATCTTCCTTTCTGATCTAAAATTCTTGAGAATTATACTCTGCTAAACTAAGCATGGCTAGAGTACCCTGTTTTGGCAAAACAGGGTCCAATGTATTCCAAGTGTCCTGAGTGGGTAGCATCCATAATTTACTCGAAACAAAGTCATTTAGAATGTTTTTAGAGCCTAAACAGTAGTGTATAGGATTTCCTAAAAGCGCGTTCACGAGTCTACGGAAACCGCGGCAGACCAAACCAGATGAAAGTGCGCATTCAGCTCAGCAAAGAACTCATGTTCTTCCTCAACACTGAAGTCCTCAGACATTTTTCCTTCGTTGTTTCTTTCTTTGCACAGGTAAACAGCACATTTCTTCTTCTACGCTTGCATTATCGGCAGAGCAGACGCTGAATGCGCACTTTCATCTGGTTTGGTCTGCCGCGGTTTCCGTAGACTCGTGAACGCGCTTTTAGGAAATACTATACACTACTGTTTATGCTCTAAAAACATTCTAAATGACTTCGTTTCGAGTAAATTCCGGATGCTACCCACTCAGGACACTTGGAATACATTGGACGAGCAGTATGGAGGAATATTGACACGTTTTTGTGGACTTTTATGGACCTTTCTGTCTCGGGCGCCATAGACCTCCATTATTTGAATGTCAGCAGACAGCAAGAAGCCTCCCAGATCTCCAGATGCATTTGAGATATCAAAAAAGTACTCCAGAGTGTTGTTCAGCATGGAGGTGAGTAGAAAATGAAGGCTAATCATGTTTTGGGTGTACTATTCCTTTAAGGTTGGTTTTTCTTTCTTAACATAGATGGCTTCCTTCACACCCCTCTCAAACCACCTGTCTTCTTTGTCCAAAATGCAAACATTCTGGTCCTCCAAAGAATGTCCTTTGTCCATAAGATGTAGATGGAGTCTTGTCCAGAAGAGGGCGCTGTTCTGTGTTGGCCATGCGTCTGTGGAGAGGTTGTTTGGTTTCTCCAATGTTAAGACTGAAAAACTAACCTTAAACAGAGGGGGTGGACTCAGATTCCAGCTTTCAAAAACCTAAATGCAGCAATTGAGTTGATTCCTGTCTGCTATCATTGCAACCTCCACCCCCTTACAAGGGAATAGAAGACCTCGCCTGTTCAGCCAGACTAACAACTAGCTTCAACGACCCCCCTTTCAGAGACATAGACAGGTATGGGGCATTGCAGGCTAACAAAGAAGCCAAACGACCCCCATTCCAAAGGGGGGGACCCGTTCATCCGTTTCTATTTGCATGTTTTCTAAACTAAAACCAGGCTTTGTTGGGCTGCTGGATAAAACCTGGAACTCAACGCTATTTCTGACATTTGGAATTGAAAAAGCTTCCTGGATGGAAGAGAAACGTCTTCAAACTTGGAAATAAAGTCCAGTGGATTTTTTTTTTTTTTTACTATTTTGGAATGACTCTGACCTGGATGGCTGAGATCTTCACAATCAGCAGAGAATATTGTTTTATGAATATTGACCAGCAGTGAGTATGAATACCAACCCTTAGGAAGGCGTCAAGAGAGCCATTCTCCATGTACTCTGTGACGATCATCACCGGTTTACCTGGACATAAAGAAAAAACATTCAGGGTTATATATATGTTGCCGGGACCTGTTAAAAGGGAGTTTTTCCTTTCCACTGTCGCTACAAGCATGCTTAGTGTGAGGGATTGTATTTAAGTCAATGAGTCAATGCAATCAACTGGTTTTCCTTAGATAGAAAACTTTGTATCAATTTGACTGGATGATCTGGTTTTTAGGCACAGTAACTGCATATCCCATACGTCCCCCCTCTCATATTTTTAAAGCAGATCTTCGCTAAAATATTGACATTTTACTAAGAGCGTCAGCATACTGTGAGTTACCACCCCCTCAAGCCGAATAACGTTTGGATGATCAAACTGGGCCATGATGGAGGCTTCTGCCAAGAAGTCCCTCTTCTGTGTCTCTGTGTACCCTGCCTTCAGCGTTTTCAACGCCACTGGGATGTCTCGTTTCCCCGGAAGCCTCATGCGTCCGTAACAAACCTCTCTGAACTCTCCTGAAAATTTGAGAAAAAGAACAGCAGTACTGTGAATGTGTACACCATTTTTTTCATCCTTTTAGGAGGTTGAAATTCTGAATCATTCAGAGATCGAGGTGAAGAGCAACTTCAGACACGGAGCTAAGAGTGTGCAAAGACGATTTCTGATATGAGTCTTTTTGTAAAGGTTTAATGTCCATAGTTTTACCTGAACCAATGATTTTTTCTATTTTGATCCTGGATGCTTCAATTTCTCGAGCAAAGTCATGGACTGCCTGGCAGGGGTCCTCATAGGTGTGTGGGTCGATATAGAACCGTGAATCAGGGAATGATACTAAGATAAACAGAAACATTAGCATTTGGTCACATAAGTCGGGTTGAGAGAAACATCACATTTCAGCTGCTTTAGGTGGAAACCTGGTGGAAGAAATGGGAGAGAAGAACAGGAAAGAAGAACTGCTGTCTCATGCATGAAAATGTGGATAAAAACTGTAAACCTTCATTATATGAGGAAATGTCTCCAAATTTGTCGGTGATAATAGATTTTAAGTTGTCTTACGTACCATGACCATTCTGATAGTGCATCTTCTCCTCATCAGATTCCTGGAATGCTTTGCTGTAGCCGCAGTGCCTACACACACCCCATATATACACCCCACACACACACCCCACACACACACCCCATATACACACCCCACACACACACCCCATATACACACCCCACACACACACACCCCATATATACACCCAACACACACACCCCATATACACACCCCACACACACACACCCCATATATACACCCCACACACACACCCCATATACACACCCCACACACACACACCCCATATATACACACCATATACACACCCCATATACACACCCCACACACACACCCCATATATACACACCATATACACACCCCATATACACACCCCACACACACACACCCCATATATACACCCCACACACACACACCATATACACACCCCACACACGCACAGAGGATCACAAAAAAATACAGAGGTATGAATACAGGACAGCTTAGCTACATTCAAGTATCAAACTTTGGCAAAATGCTAATTAATGAAATAAAAAAAAACATTAGAATTAAGTAGATGAATGTTAGTATCACAGTCTTGGTTTTGTTATGTTTATTTAGAGTATTCAGTTTTACTCTGCTCCTTGTTTTAGTGTTTAATTATTATTTTGTTGTTTTCTTGTTAGTTCCTGTCTTCAAGGTTTTCCATTTGTTGTCCTCTGCTGCCCTCTTGTGTCCTCTTTCCCTTGCTCTGTTTTCTGTTCTGCCCTCACCTGTTTCCAATCCCCTCGTTAGCCCTCTCTTTGTCTCTGTCCCCTTTAAAAGCCCTCCCTCTTCAGTTCCTGTTTGCTGAATCCTCGTCTAACGTCTGTCTGCTTACCTCGTCTCTCCCTGGCTCCTAGAGTTTGGTTTCCCCTGATGTCTCCTTGGTTCTGGTTTGTTTGTTATTTTGTTGGATTTTTTTATTCCTGCCTCCGTACCTGTGAACCTCATTAAACCCACCTAAATTCACCTCTGCCTACTTGCCTCTGCATTTGGGTCCTCAATCCAACACCAAATCCTGACAGAAACAGAGCTAGGGAAAGAGGACACAAGAGGGCAGCAGAGGACAGCAAATGGAAAACCTGGAAGACAGGAACTAACAAGAAAACAACAAAATAATAAACACTAAAACAAGGAGCAAAGTAAAACTGAATACTCTAAATAAACATAACAAAACCAAGACTGTGACAGTTAGAGGCCTTTAAAACGTTCATAATGGTCACCAGTTGTCTCTGTCTTTAGTTCAGAAACTAAACCCATGAAATTTCCTTCTTTTGCGGCACTTTCTCCGCTGTTTGTTTTGCCACTTTTCAGAACAGAGCCAAAACCAGGGACTGCCATGGAAGCAATGAGACAATCGTTTTTATTACACAGATTCCCTTTTTTAAACTGGAGACATAGAGAAAGAATTGAATAAAAGCGGCAATGATCTAAAATGTGTTAGTTTTTCTTTTTGTATGCAAGACAGTAAAATACTACGATCCCAAACCTGAGATACAAACTGAACTATGATTCATATTCACTATCAAAAACCTGCCCTAGTCTAGCGTATAACATCTCCATTCTTTTAAGCACAAGATGTTTTAGAGAGCATTCAGGACTTAGTCTCATTCCTCTGTGAAATAAGTTAAACACTTTGCAGTGCAACAGAATTATTTTGCTTTTTTCTGCACCAACATTTTTCCACATGAAAACCTTAAAAAATTAAAAACTGCAACTGTGTTCAAAACTTTATTCTAATCTTTTCTGTCTTTTTTAGAATTAGGCTCCATTTTGCTGAAATACTAATAACCCTCAGTCTTGAAATATTATTATGGCAGCTAATGATTATAGCAAAAATAAACTATGATAAAATAAACTCCTCCAGATTCCTTGAAATGCACCATGGTAATTTTCTGGGAAATACTTAGCAAAATATATATATATATAAAAAGGAATCATGGAATTGATTTCACGAAATTCCGGCCCTGAAAAATATAAAACTTAATGTGACTTAATTAATAAAGGGAGCTTGGTCTGTACTTATACAGGTGCTGGTCATAAAATTAGAATATCATGAAAAAGTAGATTGATTTCAGTAATTCCATTTAAAAAGTGAAACTTGTATATTATATTCATACATTACATACAAACTCATATATTTCAGATGTTTATTTTGTTTAATTTTGATGATTACAAATGACAACAAATGAAAATCTCAAATTCATCATATCAGAAAATTAGAATATTACTGAAGACCAATAAAAACAAAGGATTTATAGAAATGTTGGCCAACTGAAAAGTATGAACATGAAAAGTATGAGCATGTACAGCACTCAGTATTTAGTTGGGCCTCCTTTGGCCTGTATTACTGCAGCAATGCGGCGTGGCATGGAGTCGATCAGTCTGTGGCACTGCTCAGGTGTTATGATAGCCCAGGTTGCTCTAATAGTGGCTTTTAGCTCTTCTGAATTGTTGGGTCTGGTGTATTGCATCTTCTTCTTCACAATACCCCATAGATTTTCTATGGGGTTAAGGTCAGGAGAGTTTGCTGGCCAATTAAGAACAGGGATACCATGGTCCTTCAACCAGGTACTGGTAGCTTTGGCACTGTGTGCAGGTGCCAAGTCCTGTTGGAAAATGAAATCTGCATCTCCAAAAAGTTGGTCAGCTGCAGGAAGCATGAAGTGCTCTAAAACTTCCTGGTATGTGGCTGCGTTGACCCTGGACCTCAGAAAACACAATGGACCAACACCAGCAGATGACATGGCACCCCAAACCATCACTGACTGTGGAAACTTTACACTGGACTTCAAGCAACGTGGATGAAGTGCCTCTCTTCTTTTCCTCCAGACTCTGGGACCTTGATTTCCAAAGGAAATGCAAAATTTACTTTCATCAGAGAACATGACTTTGGACCACTCACCAGCAGTCCAGTCCTGTTTCTCTTTAGCCCAGGCAAGACGCTTCTGACGCTGTCTGTGGTTCAAGAGTGGCTTGACACAAGGAATGCGACAGCAGAAACCCATGTCTTTCATACGTCTGTGTGTGGTGGTTCTTGAAGCACTCACTCCAGCTGCAGTCCACTCTTTGTGAATCTCCCCCACATTTTTGAATGGGTTTTGTTTCACAATCCTCTCCAGGGTGCGGTTATCTCTCTTGCTTGTACACTTTTTTCGACCACATCTTTTCCTTCCCTTCGCCTCTCTATTAATGTGCTTGGACACTGAGCTCTGTGAACAGCCAGCCTCTTTAGCGATGACCTTTTGTGTCTTGCCCTCCTTGTGCAAGGTGTCGATGGTCGTCTTTTGGACAACTGTCAAGTCAGCAGTCTTCCCCATGATTGTGTAGCCTATAGAACTAGACTGAAAGACCATTTAAAGGCTTTTGCAGGTGGTTTGAGTTAATTAGCTGATTAGAGTGTGGCACCAGGGGCCATCAATTTTGAACCTTTTCACAATATTCTAATTTTCTGATATGATGAATTTGAGATTTTCATTTGTTGTCATTTGTAATCATCAAAATTAAACAAAATAAACGTCTGAAATATATGAGTTTGTATGTAATGTATGAATATAATATACAAGTTTCACTTTTTAAATGGAATTACTGAAATCAATCTACTTTTTCATGATATTCTAATTTTATGACCAGCACCTGTATACTGACCTAACTGATTAAGCTAAAAGTAGCTACCATTAGATTTCATCACAAACCTGCTCATAAAACTCATTTACAGTCCAGGTCAGGCAGCTCTTTGAGGATTATGTTCGTTGGGTTTTCAAATGAAAATCCGATGAATAATATTTATATACCTCTGTCATGATCTTGACATTAACGATTGGATTATCAGTTAATTCCTTCCACCTGCTTAGTTCTGCACCGTTTTCATTTGTCTGATCCACCTGTTTAAAACTCCTATCCTGGAATGAGAGGCTTCCAATTGAATGGACTCTGTGCAGCCAGTTAGATACAAACATAACGGACAGAAATGAGCCTCCTGTGTCTTCAGTCAGAGCACTTTCTATTACAGATGGAAAAGAATCACCAAAGCAAATTTTTAACGAAAATCTTTTAAGCAATCTACGGAAGAGAATCAGGGCCACTGAAAAAAAAAAATGTTAACTGATTTTTTTAAATTTTATTTCAGTATAGTATGGGAAAAAAGTCAGAATTCTGACTTTAATCTCAGAATTCTGACTTTTTTTCTCAGAATTCTGACTTTTTTCTCAGAATTCTTAGCCTGGGTGCCATTCCGAACTTAGTCCCGCCCACAAGGTTTGAGGTGGGGAAGTTCGGTCTGGCTCTGCTCCATAGTAGCGCGAGTATTATCGCCCACTGTCAGGCGATCCAATCAAATTGTCAGGGCGGGCTTTATACGATGATGAACAGATGATCAACAGTAACGTAATCAACCACGTGACCAAAGCGTGCTTGGGTGACAACAACAATGGCTGCCGCTGGAGAGTTGAGGTGAGTAGATTCTGCAATTAGGTCTGTTCTAGAAGATATTGACAGCAATTTAATTTTAAAAGAGGAACAGAGAAACGCGATCAAGGCTCATCTTCTTATTCTAGGCGTGAAACTGCACACTTTGATTTTTGTTGACAACAACTATGCATTGCTTAACATACGTCACGCACTCCATTGCTCTTATTGGTTGCAGGTCTATCCAATTGAGTGCAGAGGCATTTTTTTTCCTGGTTCGTTCAAAACACGCCCCATAATCACAGCTCTATGGAGCAGCATCAGACTCATTCTGACTAGAATTGAGTCGGACTACGTCAGGCTACAGAATTCTGACTTTAATCTCAGAATTCTGACTTTTTTATCGTCAGAATTCAGTCTGAATTCTGAGAAAAAAGCCAGAATTCAGAGAAAAAAGTCAGAATTCTGAGAAAAAAGTCAGAATTCTGACTTTAATCTCCCATGTTAAACTAAAGTAAAATTTAAAAATCAGTTTTTTTTTCAGTGGCCCTAATCCTCTTCCGTAAGAACCCCTATAATATGAGTTAAAATAGTATTTCATTTACCTGATAAAGAACCGGAATTAAAGGGAGAACTTGAAATA